AATTAATTTACATTTTGTTATATTAAAGTTAAAAATAACAAAATGTGTTATTTAACTGAAGGACTTGGGTTACCATCGCTCCTTTGATATTTAACAGTATAATAATATTTTTGAGCGTAGACGTTTAATGCAATTTTAAACGCGTTATTATTTCACCTGACGAAATATTATTCGAACTCTTTTCTTCCAGTGCCGCCTGACATTTTGAGTTCCGGCACCTCGGACGGCGAGGTATCCGTTCTCGAGGGTGAAAACGCCACTTTGTCGTGCAAGGCGTCCGGACGGCCGTCGCCTCGCGTATTCTGGCGGCGTGAGAAAAGTGATTTCATACTTGTTAGGGGTGTTCACGATCCGTTGACACAAGGTAAGATATTACATCAAGGCCCCGAGATTGTTACTTTCGATCTACGTAATCGTCTCTTTATAACAACGTCTCGTTACGTGAAACACGCGTTTGTTCCCGGAATGAAGTGTCTCTCCATGAGGAAAACCACAACGCGAATTAATTATTCCCGTCCCTATATTTACGTCATATAACGCCGTTGTGGATTTAATTATGCATCCATTATAATTGAGTTTGCACTCAATAGATAATAGAAATTATCTAAAATTTAAAATGAAGAGGAAAAACTCTAGCTCTTTTTTTTTATTTTTTATTTTTTTTAGAAAAAGCAATACCTATCTAAATCGAATGTTACAAAATTTAAAAGATAATGAACTAATAATCTCATTTTTTATTGAGCTATATAAAATCGAGAGGTATATAAAAAAGTTTAGAAAAGATCTCTCCTCTTTAATATTTTCACAAACGTTTTAATACCTTTGCTTTTATCCATTAGAATAATCCCGGTAATCCGACGTGTCTCAATCAAATAGTCGAGCGTTTTAAGGGGATATGAAGACATCGTAAATTCGTACACGTAGGTGATCTCGATCGAAAGCAATTACGGCGGAACACGTTCCATCGAATAGAGATTAGTTTGTCCGCAATGACTTTCAATATCCTTCGGGCAGGTCGAGTTCCGCTGCATTTCGCAAGATACCCACAGTCCAGGAATTTTGTGCAGTCGCGGTGGATCGCGCGCCGCGAACAGATCGACTGGTTAAAAGAAATACTTGCAATATCATGCGAGTGCCAATGACTCACGCGGAATTAAACGAGTGTGCTTGTACAACTATTGACGTCCGATTGAAATGATTGACGTCGTGCTAGAGAGACAAATTTTAGCAATCAATCGATTCCCAATATAGCTCGATGCATCCAGAAGGGTGTACGTATAATACATACTTTTAGTACTTTTTTTTTTACGGTGCTTTTCAATAAAATATTTTTTAATTCATTGTAATTCATATATTTCATTTATCAGTTAGTTTTCGAAGCTTCGTGACATTGTTCGCGATGTATAGATTAACCGCAATATAAAATGTGTATATAAATTATTTTGATTTATACCCAAGATGAATTTAAACAATTGCACCAATTTTTATCTTTTGCATCAATAACATTGATATAACGTATAATAAAAAAAACTGTTATATAATATTATATATACTGCAATTAATAATATTAACAATATCATTAATTATATTAAATCATTGTTGATATAATGAAAATTATTGCATTTTTCTAGATATAATTTGCTTTTGCAAAATGTCCCATTATTTGATTAACAATCAACGAAAATCTGGAGCGCAATAATTAAATTCCAAAATAAAAAGACGCTATTTCCGTACTCGATAATGCAATCAAACATGCGACAATTATTAATTTAATACAAGTGAATACGGTGCTGTACGAATTCATCAGATCAAATGCTGTCAGATCAAATCAACGCATCTTGTCTATTTTTGATCGATCTTATTAAACTTCTGACACATTTTATCGTGAACACGGAACGACACATTCCACATGTGATTTATGTCGGCCGTTCGTTCGATAATATGATTCATTATCTTTCAGTTATTTGAAAAGCATCTATACTGCGTGTGCACGCTAATGCAATTCCTCATTGGATAATGGAAATCGTAAACACGTAGTAAAAACATAAATTTTCAAAATTTCGTTATCGCTTTTAATGATAAACGCTACTTCCACAAAATATGATATAACCATGTAACCTGCGATGTTGAAAATTCTTCTAATTAACTAGATTAATTTATCGTTGTCATTTATGAGCTACGATCTCTAATAACACTTCTACTCATTTAATACGACCATCGATCATCGTTTTCATCAATCATGCTAAAATACAAGTATTTTGTTAATACAACGGCAATAAATTTAAAAAATTTTACATGTACGTCTTTAAAGTTTAATTAAAAAGTGAAATGAGGATTAATTAAATTTTAATTTTAGCAAGTTCGCACCCAAGGATTGCATCCCTTATGACAAAAATAGTAACGCTTAAAAAAATAGAAACTGTATCAGCAATGGTAATAAATTCTAACGACAAATTTTGTTACAAATTCATATTCTGCTTATCGTTGCTTGCCTCGAAGGCGTATTTCGCGAATAATTACTCAGGCCACGTTAACACGTCGGCTTATATGGTCGACGAGGGAGCAGCTTTCAACGAGATATTCATACAACGTACGATTTTCTAGTGGACAACCTGTCCGGCGAGAGGCTAGAATTAACCAGGGTAGACAGGAGGCAAATGGGGGCTTATCTTTGCATAGCTAGAAACGAAGTGCCTCCGGCGGTCAGCAAGAGGGTTAATCTAAAAGTAAATTGTAAGTACTTGAAAACGTTTATAGTCAACACCATCAAATCAAGATTGAAATCAATTGATAGACAAATCCAATTTAATGATTATTCTTCTAACAGACAATGTAAATTTTAATTGTGTGTAAATTTTAATAGCATTATTATGTTAACGGGAGAACGAATCGTTGAAAAAACACGACGTAATTTGCATTAGCAAAAAAAAAGTCAAAAATTAAATGAAACATAAACATGCGAAAATCAGATTTCTCATTTCTATCACGTTCTCTCATTTCTTTATATGTACCATTCCAGTCCCTCCTAGCGCTAAAGCACCCAATCAACTGCTCAGTTCTCCCTTGGATACAAACGTGTCGCTAATCTGCTTAATCGAGGCTTATCCCAAGACGATTAACTTGTGGATGCGGAAGGAGCAAGTTATCATGAGCGGGTATGTGCCGAGACAATATTGACAGTTTGGTCTACCGATCCTCGGGCGTAGTTCGAGTCCGCTGTTCGACAATCTCTTTGGCGATAAGAGGCAAAACGTTTCCGTATTGCTTTTTGCTAAATCGCTTCTGACCTCGGTCACAGTGATTTCAGATATCGATCATGGTGGCAATTCGGTTATTCTAACGAGACGTCGAATAACGGAATCTATTCTCCCTATCGCAAACGTTAAACGTAAGTGATATGTCAATTCAGAGGCAGATACGAAATCGACGAGCAAGGCGACCCCGACGAGGAATGGAAGACGACGATCGTGTTGAAGATAACACGCTTGGAGAAAACGGATTTGGGTGAATACACGTGTTCAGCCTCTTCAAGTATGGGAAAAGCTGAGGCGACTCTCAGAGTGTACGGTGAGTAATCATACACATAGGTATAAGAATATATATGGATATATAAATAAGTTATCGTTTGATAACAATCAGGCAGATTATTATCTATTATAAATCTATGCTCAACAGAAATTCTTCCACACAAAAAGAGTATTTCTGCAAGTTTGAACATTTAGCTATAGATACAGATCGGGAAATAATTTTGTTGGACTATAAAAATAATTACGTGGGAATTTCAAAATGACGAGCAATGCTGCAAAAAATTTTGACATTCTAGCAACCAGTTTGAACTCTCTGCGTAATTATTTTGTTAGTCCAATAAAATTATTTCCAGATCTGTATCTAAATTTTTACTTCAGAAAACCGTACTTTTCCTTGCAGTATTGATATGATTGGTATCACATATAGCACTACTTTTGATGACACAATAATATAAAAATAAAGTAAATAAAATTTCAAGCATAATTAAAAGTAATATTATAATCCACTATTTTTTTTTCGACTGCAAAAAAGAGTAATTTAACTGTTTTTAACAATTCATGCAAAGAACAATTTTGCTGAGGCATCTAACAATTTAATGAAATACAAATCTGAAAATAATTTTGTTGGACTATTACAAGTAAAACAATTATGTAGAATGCTCAAGCTGATTGCTAGAACGTCAAAACTTTTTGCAGCATTGCTCATCATAGTTGAGTTTCCTACATAATTATTTTAATGGTCCAACAAAATTTTCAGACTGCATCTATCTAAATTTTTACTTAAACAAAATAATTTTTTTGTGTTGGGATCTTTGATAAACAAAATACATATGCAAAACAATTAAAGGATCCCATTAATATAAAAAATTAAGTCCCACAACCATTAAAAATAATTTGATTTTCGCATATGTTGTAGCTTATGATATGGTGAATAAAAAAAAGGCCTTAAATATCTTAGACATCTTTCACAAGACTCAATAATAGATAATTTTTGAATTATGGCATATCAAAGATGCTCTGTGGAGAGTACAAGTTTTACACTTTCGATTAACACAGCTCAATAATTACAGGACTCTTTATTATTGCCGCCAACAATATAGCTAAAAAAGTAAAACTAAAGAGATGGTTCTAAAAAAAATAAAAAGGGCGAAAGCCCGAAAAGCGAAACGTCTGGTGTTACCCTGTCCATGATTCATGTGAATATTTTCAGAGATCGAGCGCGCAACCGTGCCCAATCGCATCACCTCGACCAATTCGAAGCGATTGAACCGAGGCAAGTCAAAGTCCGGGCAAGGGACGATGGTCAATCGGGTTTTCCATCAGCAGGTGAGCACGCCGGCGATGCAGAAGAGCACCGCGCGATTGATTCACAACAATAGATACGCGACCTCGTCGACCACCGCGGATCCGCGCGCTCCCTTAATCAAGGACCAGGGTAATGCCTTCAAGCATAACAACCGCAACGATAACCACCAGAATCTCAAGGATCGCAGCGACGCGTCCGCGATCATCGCCAGCAAGCGGGTCGTCTTGCCGCTCTGTCTCGTATTGTTCACGATAGTGCGATAAGACGTAAGGTGATGAGAACTACGAAAACGACGATTACGACGATAGCTATCCCTACGCAAAAGGAATTACTCAGTCAGCATGAAATTGTGTTCATCGATCCGACGAGTAGCGAGGCCAAGCGAAAGAAACTCACGAGAGTCTCGTAAACGAAAAATGCGAGGGGGAAGAATTCTCACACAACGACGACGAGGGGCTGATGGAAGAACTAACTGTTCCGTTTAATTAGCCAGATCAACGTTCTTAATAGCACGAGAAGAGATCGAAAGGGAAGCGAACACTTGGTGGACGCTTTTACAGGGTAAGATCGTAGAGAAGCGAGTACTTGGACACGTGGCAGGGTGAAAATAGGGGAGGTGGGAGTTTGATCCGTTAATGCGAGCGAATGTTGCCCGAGATAACCGCTGCGGATTTTTACGGAAAGACGCTTACGAATGTATTTTTTATGATCCTTTTATCCGTTGCTAACGTGCGAAAAGTTCGGGGATGAAACGTACTCTTTGGTTGGATTAAATATATAGTATTATCACTATTATCCGGATAATTTTAACTCTCGGACACTCAGTGCAGTTTATATTTCAAGCTATACTAAAATTATTTATCTTTTATTATAAAATAAACTTGCACTAATTGTATTATATCTACAAATGTTTTTGTTAAATATTATTAAAATAAAAATAAATATGAAAATAAATGAATGAAAATAAATGATGATAGATAAATAAATAAATAAATATATAAAATAATATAAAATAATAAAAATTAATAAATCAACTAAAATTGATTACTGAATGAGAAAAATACAAAATAGAAGAGGCGAACACCACTAATTGTCCAAGAGTTGAAAATACGAGGAAGAAATTTTTGTTATTCGAGGAACGAGCAAACTATTCATCTTTTTTTGTGAGATTAATAGGTAACTTGAAGTAATCTTATAACGTTAGCGTCAAAAGCCTTATTATATGCAGGGTGTCTATCTGAAATGAGCTGTCACTGTCGTTGACGGGTAAAACGCGCAGAATTTAATCGCTTACATACAAAATGCAATCTTGACATATATATCTCTCATAACAACAGTGACAATTCACATCAGTTAAAATGAACATCCGTTACGTTGCCATTGTAATACGTCTTCATCAAAGAATCACACGAATTTGCCGAGCAATTGTGCGATCGTACCCAAATGCAGACAAATAATTAGCATACTAATTTAGTAATTTGTATGTAAGAAATAAGATAATATCTTTGTTTATTGTGATGTAAGAAAGCGAAATTATATTATATTGGCATCATAGCGAGCGTTTTCACGTCATATCCGAAATAAGATCCATATCTGTAGCACATATAATAGCATATACCAAACACTTTAGAGAAATATTATATATATATATATATAAATATAGGTCACTTCGGTTATTTTATGTATTTTTTTAAATTACTTGTAGACACACAAATACTGTACCTTATATGTCGGTAATGAAGCAAAACCACGTTATAGGTATATAGCATAAGTGGTAAAACGCGAGGAATGACCGATATATCGCTTTTTAAATAAAACGTGTTAAATTAAACTAGGCTTTGCGAGTTTTTTTATAAGATATGCTCGGCTATCATCTCGAGAATTGCAAATGTGCATTTTAGTGATGATACATGTATATGATGGCATAGATGTATGTATACGTTGTGTATAAAAATACGAGAAGTTAACAGCGAATGATCTTATAATAATTTTTAGTAATATTACAAAGATCATTTAGTTAATGTTCCTCGCAAAACTATGAACCATATCTTGCTCTGTAATTAAGACAATTATGTAAAGCGATATTAGCAATGTTCAACTTGGAGAGTATTAAGGTTGACAGAAAAGATAAAATAAGTCAACGATCTTAAACAATTCTATGTCCATCAATATGGAGTACAAGTCTTAGTTACATCGCGTGATTTACTGTCATGGAGAAGGTAGCATATCCCGCACAGAGCAAAAATGTGTTAAATGTACCTATCTAACGAACCCTGTATATCACAGAATGCTCAATATATAATAACTTTACAATAATTATATTAAAAGAATGTTGTTGTTTATAGGACGGAAAAATATATTATGAGAATACAATGAGAAAATGTGCTCAAATTGGATGATATGGCTTTGAGGAGGAAAAAATGTGTTGACAAATAAGAAAAAAAAAACTATCATGCATTTAGCAGTGATGTTCGTTTTGACTTTAAGTCTAGCTTGAACGAGTGTATTTTTTATGTATTATTGAAACGACAAATATAGCTGTTTGTCGACAAACAGATATCAAAACTGCTTTTTATTTTCTCACATCTCGGACCTTAGATACATAAATATATATTAGGTTATAATTTTGGAATACACACCAAATGCATTGGTCAGAATGACCCATGTAAGAATGTTACGACCAAAATAAAATACTAAAGGCCATACAAACGCAACAAAAAGCTACATATGGACTCTTTCTTTCCCCAATCCTAGCACATTTCCAAAAAGTACCCTGAAAACTAAAATTAAAAATTTATTAAATATACACAGAATATGTTATGTGTATTATATACATACATGAGTATATATTTTAGTGATACTCAATAAAAATGTTTACATACCCAACCTTTCCTAGTCGATTGTCAAACAAATTCGGTGCCAGTGATCTAATGTAGGTACAGGTGCATATTAGCAATAATATTACAGTCAGTAGGCTCTGAAAATTAAATATGGCAGACTGCCAAAAAATAATACATTAGTACGTCTAAAAAAATATTAATATTGAATTGTAAAGTTTATAATGTTACTAAATGAATGTCTTGCAACAACTGTTTATCTATTAAATTAATAGTAATGGAATCTCAATTGCTATATTCTTAACGTAAATAGATTTTTTTTATAATAAATTTTGTAATTCAGATATTTAATTTCACTAAAACTGAAAAATTATCAAACGTCAATGACATTATAGGTTATACGATCCACTTCAAATATCAGTCACGATCTCAAAATATCAATCACAATTACCATAATGTTGGAATGAGCTCGACTCAACAAACTGTAAATGAATCAAGCCTGAGAAACTGCAAATAAATTAAGTTAAAAATTCTTCAGTGAACCAAGCACCATCCGACATCACTTTCGTGTACGGCGCACAATGGCGCGCAATTCGATGTTCCACGCGCAAGAAGTCTGGGAGTCAAGTAGCGTATCTTGAAATGAAGTAAAAATTATAAAAATGAGCAAATTCTTTAGATATTGACCAATTAAGTTATAAGTATTCGCTAATAAGTTTGTTCACTTTTGTAAGTTTCACCTTGAGCGGGAAGCATAGACTCTTGTTGACGCATAAACATGTGAAACATAGGAAAATCAATCAGAATCCTTTATTTCATGGAAAGGAAAGAAATAAAGGACTTTGATTGGTTCATTTTTTTATGCATTCTATGTTATGCATTATACAAGAGTCTGTGCTCCCCGTCTTAATCCAAGATACACAATCGACCTCGAGATATTTACGTTGTGTGTGTGTTTGCACTTTTTACACTCGGCATTATTTCTCTTTCTCTCTCTTTAACACCAAAATATACCTATAATTATCTCATTTTATGTAAAAAATTTTACAGGATTTCAAGCAACGCAACAGACATCAGATAAAAGCCCGATAAAACTTTC